TTTCTCTCTGGCGTGACCCTGATGGTTTCCCAAAAATATACCTGCGGCAGACACAACAAACCTTTGTGTTTCATTTTTTCACTTCTGGATGAGCCAACATGTAATTATCGGCCAGAGAGGAAGTGACACACAGCTGGCAGATGTAAATATGGCAGGCAGAGAGCAGAGAAAACATTCTTGGTTGACTGGAAGTACAGCGGAGAAACAATTAGTCACTAAACCGTCAAGTATTTTCGATTAATGTATAACGGTACAATTGACACATGTGGGCTGGAACACAGAGGAGCCTGTCTGACGTCTGGGCGCCAGACGAACAAGTCAGACCTGCAGCGGAGACAAAGTGAGTTTACGTGTAAGGTTTGAGGAAAAACTTAGATTCAGGGCAACTACCTGCAAATTAGTTTATTCTGAAGTAATGTGAATGAGGCTATTCTCAAAGGTTGGCCACATTTCAAGTGTAAGAACATTTGACACACTGATATTTGAATATTTGAGTAATTTGTCAGGATAAGTATTTTAAAAAATCAAGTTCTGCAGAGTGAAGGAGCAGGGGATCAAACCACCGACCTTCCAGTTAAAGGACGACCCACTCTACCCCCAAATTCCCATTTCGATGATGTATTGACACTTGAATTGATGTTTGTTTAAAGCCGAGTTTATAATATCTTAACTTTTGTTTCCAGTGTATAAAAGCTTGATTTAAACTTTAAAATCTGCTGTAAACAGAATAATTGATTTTTTTATCGTTTCAAACTTCACACAGTCGTAATTGTTCTTGTGGCTGAGAACATACAGCACATTGTGATCTGAGCTGCTGCGTTTCAGAAAGAGGCGCAAAGAACCAAAACAATAGCAGTCTCTTTGTCTCTGTGTGATTATCCTCCGCAGCATTTCAGATTGATGAATAAATCATTATCACAAGCCCAAACAGAGAAATCTCAATCTCTTCATCTCCTTCATGGGTTTTAATGGTCTAACCACACAGAGGACGCTGAGGGGGACGCAGCAGCTCGGAGAACAAGTGCTGCCTTGTTGAACGCTCACACTCGCACCTCGCTGGCGTCCAGTGGCCCGGAGAGGGAGGCGAGATCATATAACACTGCCTCGTTTTTCTCATGGATTTTTGTGGTTTGAGCAAAAGCTGTCCTGGCCACTGGTCCGAGGATTTAAATAAAAAAAAAAAGCTCAATCCAAAAATGCTTCTGCCTCCTCCTGCATACTGAAGAGTCACTCCATTCTCATTTCATAAAAGTTTTTCTTTTGGAACTTTACACAGGCTCCTGTTTATTCATTGTTTGTTGGATTAAGTTCCTGTTATCATCAAAAAAAAAGAAGTGGTTGCCAAAATGGAAATAGAGGCGATGGATAGCGATGATTTGAAGAATCAGAAGGAGGAGTGAGGAGTGTGGGAAACCAGACCGGGATAGTTACTGTTTGTGTTTGTGGTCGGCTGCTCGCCACTGAGGTGGAAAAAGTGACTCAGGTTGCAGTCGTGGACATCGTCTCCTCACGTGTGCAGATAAACAGGAGCCTCTGTGGTTAAACACACTCTCTGATCGTCTCTCTAGTGGAAAGTACGCACTACTAAGGATGTAACCTATAACTCTGAGATACTTGTACTTAAGTATTTCTCAGTTATGTAAGCAGTCACCTCAGACTCGACCAGCTGGAGGACAACAAAAAGGAGGAATAGACGAGATGGATAGATTTATATTTCCTCATGTTCGCTCTCTCATCACAGTGTTAAACCTTGTTCACACTGTGGTGAGGACCGGATAATCAATGGAGACGACAGACACACACCAGGAGGAGAAGACTCTCAGATCCCGACATGTTTGTTCATTTTCTCCCACGTTTGCATAAGAACTCCCTTGGTTTGCCAGGTTACTTATATCCCACATATAATTATGTACAATAAGTCACAGTTGGGCGTGTCCTTAAATTGAGTCATGTAGTGAATGACGACTGTTTGGGCCAAATTCTTGGGCCATAGACTGTAAATAAAGATGGACGACGTGTCTCCGCTTCCCCCAGACGCTTCCATCTGGCGCCAATGACGTCATTCAGAGGACAGAGCCACAGTATTTAGGTCCAGATGATGCACACGTTCACAATCATGACAGACACCATCTTTTAGAAAAATGTCTTTAAGTTTTTCTCATGTCCCATCCACTCATATGGAGGAGGCAGGGTTTGTGACCTATTCTGCAGCCAGACACCAGGGGGCCATCGAGAAGCTTTGGCTTCACTTTTGCGGGAGCTGTCATGTCGTCCATCTTTAAAAACACCCTCTGCTTGCTAGTTCACAAAAAAAAAAGAAAAAGAAAGAACTGACTTTGACCTGCTGATGGCGCTAGAGTAAGAAATCAGAAGATCACCAGAACTCATCCGCTGGAGAGCTTGAACTCTCGTCAAGGTTCTCACCCTGAACCACATGTGACGAGTGAGAGCATCCGATTCGTCACCTGGGAAAAATCTCTGCTGAGGAATTTCAGTGTAAACCAAGTGGTGAAGCGTCCACGCGGCTGTGACATCATGGCGGACAAAACCGAGGAGAATCAAAGGACTTTATTAGAAACATCTTGATGGATGGAATTGCGTCATCACTCTGTCATCCGGTATCTTTTCATCCCCGCAGAACTTTCCTGCTGTGGTGAAAACAGAGACAAGAGGAAACCAAATGGACCAGAGCGAGCGAGCTGAACGAGCCACTGAGCCAGCAGCGATGCCATCTGCCTTCATTTTACTCTGCACAACAATAAAACAGCCGTGTGCCTCTCCAGCTCAGAGGAATGTGCCCGATAAATCAAATCCACTGAGGCGGCATCGGTTGAGTGTGTGAGCTTGTATCAAGCAATCAGCTCAGTGTTCTTCCACGTGCACGACACACATCACAACCTCTGCACTGAAACATCAGAGCGGCCTGGTGCAGCAGGGGAATCCCTCTCAAACCCCGTCCTCTTCTTCTCCTCCTCCTCCTCACAGAGGTTAATCTCTGCAGACTCAGGAGCTGCACTGATTATAGATCTGCTCCAGAGTACCACTCCCCCCTTAATCCAAGGGGAGGAAGGAGGGAGGAAAAGAGAAAAGCTCCAGAGAGGATCATGGGAGCTGTGACTTCACATTTGTCACTGCAGTGAGTGACACTGTAAATAAATCACCTCAAGTGTAACGAAGGCAGCGACACAGCGACGGGCCGGAGGTGGAGGAGAAGCAACGTGTGACCTTTAAAGCACCAACACCAGTCTGCTGTTCACTGTGAGAGGCTGAACATCATCAGTGCAAGAGGGACATCTGCTGGCAAGACGTTCAACAAGCAAATCATCCAGTACTTTATGATAAAGTGTAATACTGAGTGTGAAAAACAGGAGGAGTACACTTCCACATGTTTTGCACCATCATGATTTGGTGAATAACAACGGCAACATTAAAAGAAAGATAAAGAAAGAACTGCAAGAAGCTTGAAATAATAAATAGAGACAAATGTATAAATGATAAGTAGCCGGCAATATCTTATTTAAATTATAAAGCTCGGCAGTTTTACATCAGATGGTAATGAAAAAAGATGTCATCCAGAAAAAAGATCTTTGTCTGCAGGATGTGAAACAAATAAACAGTACAATGTACAAAGTACAAGTTTGAAGTACTTACAGTTTACTTCCACTACATGTATTTTACAGTTATAGTTATTAATTAAATTTTTAGATTAAGATGTTATACAGCAAACAAGAATATTGCTGAAGACTGATCCAGTGATTCAGAACATTTTTGATTCATGAGAACTGAATTCTCTGGAGCTGCTTCAATCTGCACTTTTCCTAAAGTAAGATTCTGAATGCAGTACTTCTCCTTGTATTGTTACACAGGTTATTGAGTACTTGATGTGAATACTTCTCCCACTGCTGCTACACCATGTACCAGTATTAACCATCAGCATGTGTTGCTTTGGAAAGTACCTCTTCAAATATTCGATCCTTGTTTGTTTTCCAGAATGTTCCTGGAGCCATTTAAATTTCTTCCAGCTGTTTCATTTCCCTTGTGCATCAATGATGAAACATAAACAGCGTTGGTTCATATTCGTGTCGGTTGAGTTATTGTTACACAAACGTCACGAGTGAGAAGTTCAGAGTAAATCCTTTATTCAAAGAAATGTTCAAAACAATAAGGAGCGCAGAGTAAAATGTGCTACAAGCTGTAAATACGGGTCAGGTAAAAAAAAAACCTAAACAATCATACTCTGTTTTCACCATCACCAAAAAGATTAATTAGATTATTTTCAGAATTAAAAAACAGCATTAAAATCAAGTCAAAGTGAAATCTGTATTAAAACCACTGCTCATACACACACACACACACACACACACACACTCACTGCTCCTGCTGACCGAAGAGGAAACACTGAGCTGCTGAGTGATAACCGATAGATTTTTATAATTCGTGTTAATTTGACCTTTAAGACTAAATACGTCAAATTTAAATGGCGGTTTAAAGAAAACTTTTCTCACACAGTTTTGTTCGGGTTCTCTTTGTGTTCCAGGCACCACAGCAGCATCAGGACGGATTCGTATAAGGAAGCCAGGCTCTTGAATTATATTTCCACATGCACATACTGAGCTGTCGACCCACTCACAGGCCGACGACTCATCTCAGTCCGTTAAGTAAACTTCCTTTAATTGTAAGAGAATCACAAGAAATAAAATAAAAACCTCCGATTGTTGATAGTATCTATAGAACAGCATTCACCAGGTGTTTCACCGAACTTGGAGTGAATATGTTAGTATAATCCAACTGGTTGAATTTACTTGTTTCATTAAAACAAATTGTATTTACTGCAGGTATCGTGATTTTCTTTTATTTTAAGGGTACGTTCCTCAGGTTGTCTTGTTTTCTGCAAACTGACAGTGAATCTGTCACAGTCTGTGTTTTGGTGCGATCGCTGAGAAAAGCACAGATGATATAAAAGACGATTCTGCCCCTAAAACATGAATGAGAAGAACTTGTGCCGACAGAATTCATTCTTTATACAAACTGAGAAAAACAGATGTTTATCAGATCAATTGTCCAAACAGAAAGATTCAAGGAGGTTTCCACGGGTCAGAGTGGACCTTTTCTTGAAACTGGCCCAAAAGAGGATGTAAGGTTGTTTTTTCTTTACTTTCTTTGACATCGTTTGTGGACGTGTGCACAATTTTGGGAACTTCTCAACAATTAACTCAGAGATCATGATTAATATGTCTGAACAGGTGAAACTGTGAGAAGTTTGCAGAATAATTCTGCCTCGGCAGAGGTATGTGTTCTCCATGTGTCCTTCGAGTTTACAGACTGATCACTGATCAGTATTTATCACCTGCATCATGTGACACCATTGTCCTTTTCAGGAGCTTGTTTGTGATTGATTAGAACTTCAGCTGAATTCGAGCTTTTAAGTTACTAGTAATAATAAAAACCAAACATCCTCCTGGTCTGAATTGAAAGCATTTGAACATGGTGGCTTTTATTGTGAGAACACCACATAACGAAACCAAGTTTGCGGCCACATTGAACCTCGGTGCTTCCATTTATCTCTTAACCTCTGTGTGAGAACACTAATGTCTGGTTGAGTTCTCATGGTTTTTAAAATAAATGCTACGTAAAATGAAGAAGCGTAGAAATTCTACAACATAAACCTGAAATGCAAGCCTGGTATAATAATAACAATAATTCAGAGATAAACATGTAATAACACACAAATCTTTAAAAAACAATGCATAGCATAAACAACCCTGCAAAATCCAGCTCCACTGCACGTCATTCCAAAACCTCAGCCAGGCCGTTTGTTCCCACAAGCAAAGACAGATGTCAGGAGTGTTGCTTTAGCTTCTTCAAGGCGGAGCCTGCTGCTCAGGCAGAGAGGGCGGTGGCGAGAGTCTGAAGCGCTCCCGTTAGAAACGAGGGAAGGAGAAGAAAGGAAGCGAGGTGTTTTCAGAGGAGGAGGAGAAGAGGAAGGTTAAGGGGGAGGTTTGGGACTCCCTGCTGTAAACACTGTTGCTCTGGACCAAGGCTCCTCCAGCTCTGCGGCGCTCTTCTCAAAACGAGTACGGGTCAATGTGAAGCTCCACACTGATGCTCTAAGTGTCCTCCTCCTCCTCCTCTTCCTCACGGCTACACACCACCCTCTTCCTCAGAGCTTCGTCACCCAAACCCTGCCCCTTGGGTTCTGGGCGGCCCTCAGGGGAGCCTCTTCTTCTCCTCCAGACATCATCCTGGTCTCCGTCATCCTCCTCGTCATCTTCGTCATCGTCTTCCTCACCATCAGCTTCATGCTCGTCTTCTTGTTGGTGGATTAACCTCGCCTGCTCCAAGCTCTGTTTCTCTGCAGAGTCACATTCAGGATAACGATCAGTGACACTAAATGAACCAGTTACAAACAGATCTATGAGGACTAGTGCAGCAGCGATCAGTAAATTCTCTTATAAAACTCACTCTGGTAATAATTAGGAGAAGAAAATCGTCGAGAGGGGAAGACAAAATCTGCAATGAACACCAGTAACTGAAAAGACAAGACAACAACACCCATTAATTCATTGTTAATGTCCGTTAATGCTAATGTGTACAAATGTTCAATTCTTTCTCTCTGTTCAATGAAACTGATTCAAGGAAGAGTAATAACTCACCAGACCAAGAGCAAGACCAGAGAACAGAGTGGCCAAACCAAAGATGACATACGATCCCCACACAGGAATCCCCAGCTGGTCCGTCATGTAATTATGACAACGCTGGAGAACAGAAACACTTTTAGTGAAGGCTGTAAAATGTTATTTAACAGATCCAGAATCAAATTAACCAGGCGAGCTATCAGGCGCCTCACTGAGACATTTTCAAAGAGAGTATTGTTCTTTCTTTTAATTTAAAACAATCAAGTCCAAAACATCAAATAATTGATTTAAGGAACAACAACATATATAATAACCAGCACGCTGACAGGAATGAAATCTTCACTTACCCGGATAAACATGGAGAGCTTGAACAAAGCAGACATTGAATTCATTCTGCCAAAGGAGGAGGAAACAACAACAGAACATCGGCTTGTAAATGAACAGAGATTAGTCTGGAACATCAAGACAAACGTCATTATCACGACAAAGTCTGGACACAAAACAAGTGGTGAAGAAGAGAGTCTTGTTTGTTCTTTCTGCTTTGAAGCAGCAGAGAGACGCTAAAAATAGAGACAACAGGGAGACAGGTTCTTTACTGTAACTTCCAAGTAAACAGGAACAACAGCTTTGCAACAGAATTACTGGACTGATCTTTACACGAGAACATTCCAGTTTGTGTTCTCTCCAGAAGTGACTCTGACAAACAGACGGACTGTGGATGTGATCAAATAAAAATTAGAAAACCTTCTGTGTTGACATATTTAACAACATATTACAAGTACTTGTTGTATATATTGCCTGGGGTTATGTATCCCCACAGTCAGTGTTTACAGAAACAGATGAGGTCACAAAATGTTTGCACGTTGTGAAAACTGTGGTTTATAACTTTGTACGGCCTCGACCTTAATTTGTAAAGAATTGGATCAACTCACAAGAGTGAGGACGGCCCAAACCAAGAGGAAATGGGCTCCACTGCTTTCCATTTCTGCTCATCGACGTAGCTCAGGAAGTCGTCTTTAGTGCGAGCTCCCTGGTACTTCCGGAAGACGCCGTCCTTACAGCTGAGACACACACAGATAATGAGTTACGTTTCCTTTGGAAAAATCTTAGTCATGGAAAAACAACTAAACAACTAAAGTACCAAAACATTTGCAGATTGATTTTCTCTTGCTTGACAAATGAATTAAAGTTTTTTGCTCAGATTCTAAATAAAGTAAAAAGCTGAAGTTGTAGTTGTAAGAAGACTTTACACTGCAGCGTTACAAACACCACGAGCAGTCACACAGAGGAGGAAGCAATAAATAACACATAATAACTCTGAACTCACTGGTAAATGGTAGGAAGTGAGGTGATGATGAAACGTCCGCTCAGACCTGAAAGAGGAAGGAAATGAGCAGCGTGAGTCTGCAGCAGAGAACATTTGTGACTCATAACTAGACAAAGAAAATTGAGATGTGGCAGACGACAGACTGGCTAACATCAAAACTGACAGAATGGAGCGGGGTAAATACGTTCACATGCTTGTGTACATTTGTTAGATTCGACAAAGATAATCAGATGAATGTTCTGTCTTCCAGTCGGCTCTCACACATTTATTAGACTGCAGTCGTTTTTAAACTGAGCCTCTTATCTGCAGTTGGACGACACCACAGCAGCAGCGTGGAGACATTCAAAGTTTTTTATCTGTTTGTTGTTTGACGTTTGAAGAAGTGGTCACCGGTTTGTTCCATTGTTTTGGCTGCAACGATGTTTAACCACCTAAACTCCACAAGTGACTCAAACACTCCACCCCCCCCCCCTCTAGTCTGAAGTTTACATACCAGGTTGTTCTGTCACGTCCACCTTGGCGATGTTGACCCCCATGTCCTCCCCCCAGGCTGCGAACTCCTTCCACACCGGCTGCAGCTGCTGACACGCCGGACACCACGGAGCGTAGCTGGGGGGGAGGGGGGGAGAAAACATTTCAATTAACGGAACAAAACTTGGAATAAAGTTTAAAATGACAGAAGTCAACGTGAAGCTGTTTGCTAAGCACGACCTAACGAGCTCGTTGATAGCAGCTGCTGGCTAAAGGAAGACAGCTACTAGCATACACAACGTATCAACTTGTCAGGACTGACTCAAAAACATTATATATTAATTACACAAGAATTATAAAACACAACTGCACACTCGTGCTTCCGGCTGATCGCAGGAAGGGAATCGACCCCGCGGATATTTTTTTTATACACGAGCTTGCAGGGGCTAACTGATGAGCTAGCTAGCTAGCTGGTTAGCTGTTAGCATCGTAATGACACTGACAATTCAATCATCCACTCTCCGCTCAGGATCTGCTCCCAGCTCCCGTCGGTCACCTCCCTCAGGCCGTCCGCTTTGGCCCGAACCGGCGGCGACGTCAACTGCGCGAAAACGAACAAACAGCACGCGAAGGTGCGGAGCTTGTTGCGGAGCATCGCTGCGACCGAACAGCGGCTGCTCGCCATGACGGTCCCAGTCGAACTTCCGCTGACCCGTCTTCTTCTGGGGTTTACCGGCGGTTGGCAAACAGGCCTAAAGGCGCATTATCGCCACCGTCTGGACAGAAGTGTGCAGCAGTCAACTCAACTCAACTATAACTTTATTTAGTTTAGTTTCTTTTAAAGCTTCAGTTCGTGAGATGGATGTGAAAAAGATTTAGTGGCAGAAACAGACTAAATAATAATCCTGTGATGTTTTTACTCGTGTGTTTCAAATTGTTGTTTTTTTACCCTACAATAGTCCCTTTGTATTCAAATACTTTATATTCAAATACTTTATATTCAAATACTTTATATAAACAGGAGAGGGTCCTAGAGTCCTGTTTAAGCAGAGTGTCTGTAAAAATAAGAAAGCTCATCGTCATTAATCATAAACGTTCAACAACAAGCAGGTGGTGCTATTGCCCCAAAAATATCTGAGAACTGAAGAACAAAAAGAAGTGTATAAAACAAACTTAATTCTTGGGGATTTTATCACATTGCGGAGCTGCAAGAGAGAAAATCCTCCCTTGTTCCCTGGTTGAGACACTTTAAATATGACCCCGTCAGGTGCACGTGCTGTAGAACTATTTTAAATCCAGGCCTGTATAGCAGCCATTTAAAACTATAACTGTGCTGGATGGTTAGAATCCGATGCCGAAGATGAAATGATGAGGGCGACACTCGGCTCCCATCTGCACCCGATCTGGCAAAAGCAAACGAGAGCAGCAGGAGGCTCAGATGTGTCCTGTTTCAACCTGGGGGAGGAGGAGGAAGACAAAAAGGAGGGATGGGAGTCGAGAAAAGGGAGGAGGAGGAATCCTGGGAGCAATAACACAAGTTTATCTGTCTCTCATACAGCTGGAGAAGATTAGACATCAGTGAGGAAACACTGAGCCACAAACCTGCAGGAAAGGTCCTTCACATCCACCTGAATCCCTCCAGTGTTTTAATGACTTCTACATGTGCTGGTTTGACAGAGCATCCGTCACAGAGAGACACAGCTTATTCATCATGTCCCTCACAATCAAAGCGTGTCCAGTTCACGTCAATGTGAGCTGGTGAGTGTGACCGTGATGCGTCTTGTCATCTGAGCCCAACAGGAGCCTGAGGCCAAAACCTGCTGTAGCCTGAGCTGCTCGGCTGTGAGACACTTGGCAGCTGAATCAAAACTTTACAGTTACATGACTGAACGTTTAGTTTGTAGAATAAAACAATACCTCTGACAGTTTTAAACCAACGTGGGATAGTTTTTGTATTTTCCCTTCGGCGCTTGAAAAAGTCGAGCTCATGCCTCCAAAGGCCCAACAGTCCCCTTAAATTCAAACCCATTTTATGAATAAGGCCACTTTACGTTATCTCAGCTGCACGTCGGTGAAATTCATGGTTTTCTCTCTGTGTTTGTGAACGTACAGCGGCTAATAAAATCCTAGCTTCCCTATGAAACCACATCTAAATCCACCGGATCTGGATTTTTATTTGGATTTTGTCTTTTCTGTAATTTCCCTCCGTGATTTAAACAATAACAGTTTCTCGGTTTCAGTCCTTATTGCAATATCTTATTCAAGCAGGAGAAACAACACGCATTTTGATTTAACTCTTCAACAACCTTGAATTACCTTCTTCAAATCAATCAATGGAAATCTTGTTTGTTGTCTCTATTGAGAATTTGTGACATTTAAATTTATTTTGACCATTAAGGAGAGTTTGTTTTTTTTCAAATTGAAAATCTTGGAAACTGTGAGTGGACTGGACGGAGGATTATTCTCTCAAACACACTTCATAATTCTTAACTGGTCGACTTTCAAAAGTCCAGTCTGGGAGGAAAACACAGATGTTCAGACTAATAAAAGCAGAGGCGTGTGTGTGTGTGTGTGTGTGCGTGTGTGGACATATTAAAACTGGCAGGCCTGACTTTTATGAATTTCATGGCTTCACACATCTGATAGAGTTTAACAGTCGCCAGTCGTGTTGTGTTCTAACAGTGTTGTCTGTTTTATTGAAAGAAACATGAGAAACATCCCGTTTTAAAAAAACGTCCGTTAATCCGTAGATTAATCTTTGACCGTAGGCTGACACTTCCTCCCACTCTCAGGAAACGAACCTTAAAGTCTGTGAATTGATCAGTTCACCACTTTGAGAACCGTGTTGTGTGAATATTCATGTTCCCCAGAGGATGAATCATAAAGACTGATGAAGCTGCGTTCGTGCTTCCAGAGCAGTGATGACATCGAGAGGAGAATCTGTCCAACAGACGGATTCATGATCAAACACCAGCCAACCAGTGACATAATGATTCATATCAGCTTCAGATGTGTGTTCAATGTTAATGAACACTGTAAATAACAAATCTGTTATCATCACTGGTAACATCTGTTGAGCTATTAATATATTTACTTTATTGACTTTGTTGGCGTTGTGAGTATTTGAGCTGTGCCACAGTGTGTGTGTGTGTGTGTGTGGCTGTTTTGTTTAACAACATGTTTGTTTCATTTGGGTTTTTATCGATTCCGTCCTCTTGACTTTTACTTTTAATCTTTAAACTTCACTTCTCTCTCGAATAGATCACGTGACTTTGTTTTTCATTTTTCTTTAAAAATAAATAAAGAAATAAAAATGAACCATTTGAAATAGTTTATTCAGTTTTTTTTATTCAGATTTCCTCAGTTTTTGATATTGAGAACGAGAATTACAGATTTTTTCTTTTTAATTAGCAAATTAATTATACAATGATTCCCTGACTGAATTCCTCACAGGTGTCTTTTCTCATTCCGCCACCAGGAGCCACCAAAGTCAGAAGGTTTCAAACACTGAGCTTTAAAAACAAGCTCAAAATAAAAAAATCAGGTTTCCTTCAATTCAAATATGAAATTATTGACTCTTTGCTGTCTCACACAAGAAAAATGAATTGCAGAATTCATTAAGTCTCCTCCTGTGTTGTTTTACTCTGCCGTCTTATAATGTCAACTAATCTGGACTATTTACAATTTGTACTGTCTCTAGGAACTTTTCACCGAGTGGATTTATTCATTTATTTATCTGACTGGCCACCCAGCTCTGCATGTACACGCCTGAGTTGTAAAAGCCACAAGACACTTCACTGATATTCCAACTCTTCATTTAATGTTTATGGGTGTAATTTTACAGCTTCATGACTGCGAGCGTCTGATTCAAGCAGAGACAACACGTCCTCTCTCCTCCTGCTCGACAGAGGGAGAGAAAACCTGGTTGCACTTCACTTTAACTGCAGCCTCAGTCAACATGATGCTTTCATTACCAAGGTGTCAGGAAATTAGTCTCTTTTAATTCACCGGGCCTCAGTGTCATGAACTAGAAATCTGCTGTGGGACAGAAATATGTTCAGTGTCGTCCTCCTCTTGTTTTGACTGGTGTTCGTGTTGCTTTTACTGTAATTACAGCAACATTACAAGAACCAGAACGTCTTATCAGGTCGACCATCCAACCGTGAACTCGTCTCACGCTGCAGGTTTCATGCAAACATCTGGATGTGTCTCCATGACAACAAAGTATTCACTGTTTCCTGTGACAAAAGGGCCGAGTGAGACATTAACTATAATCATCAGTGGAGGAATCTCTGACAAAACGTACAAAACATATGACGATGATGTGATTAACAACCAGTTTCAGGAAGAAGCTAGAAAAATGCATCGCAGCCAAACATCCTCTGCATGTTTCCATCAGTTTCCTCTGTGTGTGTGTGGCCTCGAGATTCTCCTGCGACAGTGAGCGTCTTTGTTGCAGAGAAGAAAGGTGACAGCCAGGCGGACGGGGGCCACGCTCTCCGACTGTTGGGGCCTGTTTGTGTCTGTTGCCATAGTCACCGTCAGACGGCGATGGCAGAGGCCCGGTGGAGGCGGCGGCTTCTCCGCTGGCGGCCGAACAGGGGGAAAAAGTTTTGGCATCGGAGACGAAAAAGAACCAGAGAGGAAGCATCTGGTGGATCTGCACAGGCTCAGCTGCAGGCCTCAGCTGCTCCGGCCGCTACCCACAATGCACCAGCGTGAGCCGGGTTCAGGTTTTAAATCCTCTGAACCTGTGCAGCGTTAGAAGATATTATCTGATGACGCAGATCAGCACACACCACAGGAAACAGCAGATTCTTGAAATTGGAGACCGTGTCTCTAAATCTTCTCCAGCAGATGGAGAGTTTGTTAAAACTGGGATTATTTTTTATTTCCAATTATGAATCTACTGTTTGTGCTCAGCGTAGCTTTGTTTACACTAGGACCTGAGTGTATTCATGTCATAACGTGGCTGGAAGCTTTTTTGATGCCATAAAATTATGACATTATATTTGAAAATGTCAATAGACTCTCAAATGTGAGGTCTTTTGTGACATTTTTATTTATTTACTTTTATATTTTTGGGATTTAATCTGGACTTCACAGGACAATCCTCCTGAAGAGATGGACACGAGAAGAACAGCCACCAAATTAATCATGAGACGAGATGTTTTGTCTTTCACCGTCTGAAGGAGACAAAAGTTTTAAAGCAAAGTCTATAAAATAAAAACATGGACATCTATATATATGATAAACTACCTGCTGAGGAAGATCATGTCATAAAGTACCAACAACTGCTTTGGATCTTTCTGCAGAGTTAGTAAAGTTTCACACCTCCTCAAATCTTCTCTAATCTTATTATATCACTGCAATAAAAATACATGACGGCGAGAATAGTTTTGAAATGTTCCAGTTGGGAGAATATATGACACCATTGAGTTTATCATCATTAATAAGATCGTTGTTGTTGTTTCATCATCATTTAACGAATTTAGTCAAGTACTAAAAGTTTTGTTGCCAGGTCACAAAGGGCTCAAGGATTCAAGAGACTACAGTACATTCCCACGTGTCATAGGTTTAAACAGATTAGGGAACATCGATATTGAAAGGACACAACGACACATACGATTCTGAAAAGAATGTGGTCGACTCGAGGAAAAGTTTGTGTTTTCATAGAAAGAGCTTAAAGTAGACACAATTAAAAGGAGTTTAATCAAAAAGTCCACACTACGAACAGGAAGAGACTCAACTTCTTCATGACTGTATTACAAATAAAAACACAGACACTGTTTCCTCTAAATCAGAGCGCAGCTTGTTTGCTGTTTTTTATTGGGAGTCGTCATCATGCTGGCGTCTTCGATCGAGTTTCCAAGCAACAATATTTACTGCGAGGTCTGAACCTGTCGATGAAGCAGAAGAGAAAACACGTCAGACGGTTCAAAGTACAAGAAGAAATTTGCTTCAAGTTAACGGCTGTGTTTGTCTTAACAAATATCATGCAAAATCTACGACAGGAACAAATAGTAAGCAAATGAGCTGAGGGGTGAATGAACGATGGACGTGTGCACGATACCTGTCGGTTAATATTTGTGGCTCTCGCTTCCACCGCGGCCAAAACCTGAGAGAAGAGAGAGAAGAAGAAGAGTTATAGGTTTAAAGAAGAGATGAAAACAACAGAAAACATCCTCGAGGCCGGAAACTGGATAAAGAGTTCTACGAGATAAACCTGACGGCTGAGTTTCTCTAGAGTTTAAAGAGATGTCACCTAACGACAGGTTCACAGTGTGTGTGTGTGTGTGTGTGTGTGTGTGTGCGTGTGTGTATGTGTGTGTGTGTGTGTGTGTGTGATGCTATCAGGTGACAGTGCGTGCTTTGACTGAACCATTTACAGCCTCAGCACTATCACATACACAACATTATCCTCACGCTGGGCGTTTCAGGACAAGGGTAGTCAGAACAAAGGTGATCGAGCCTGAGTCACGCTGCTCGTACTTTTCAGCGGTGGGATGTAACAAAGTACTTCTACCTAGCTGCTGTACTTGAGTATTCACGGGTACTTTTACTCCACTACATATATCAGCAAATGTCTTTAGACTTTATACTCAACCACGTTTTTCAGGGCATGGAGTTGTATGTTCGAGAGAGGAATTGATCCACTGAGTGTAAAATGTTTGAGTGCTTCCTCAGTACTTCATGGCGTACTGAACAGTACTCACCTCCAGGTCCGAACAGAGCGCTGTAGCAGGGGTTGTGACAGTACGGCTTTCCTCCATGCTGGAAGAGTTGAATTTACACTTGGTCAGAACAGAAATGTCGAAACATCTTGAACTATAATGGCACTAAGAAAAGGAAGTGGTCTGATAATGTCAAAGATTTATTGGTCATTAAACATCGTCCCAAACATGAGAATCACTGCAGCATGTAGTTTAGTTGTGTATCTTTTACACAGCAACACAAAATGTTTATTATTCCCTGAAAATTCATAAAAAATGTTTTTCCTGCTCTGCCTTTAAATCCTTATCTTAACGATGACTAGTTATAAAATGTTACAGATTAGATAAGAGCCATAAATTAAAAACAATGTTTGGGTTGCCAAGTTGGGGAAAAACCCTCTTCCAGTCTGGCTAGTGCTTTAGCAACAACTCTCCATCTGGATCAATATTATAATAAATTATATTCTAGTTATTTGTTGGTTTAAATGTTGATTACCTCACATTTGCTGCAGGTTGAATGAACTGAGCTGCAGATTCCACGTTGGACTTTGATAAAACCTTGTGTACATTTCTCAAAGTGACGGTATGTGTTTGTGTCTCACCTCTGCGTGTGCGCCCGATGACAGAGTCTTGCTGCACTTAGCGCACTTGAGACAGGGCCTGTGCCAGTCCTTACCCAACGACGTCACCTTCTCAGCTGCCAAACACACAGAGAGAAGAATTCAGACGTCAACAATCAGTTCACCACAAAGAGTCTCAGACCAATGCATCTTGGCCCAATATCACTTTTAGACCAACCAGATGTACAGTTTACAGATAAGTTTGAGAACTTTGTTTGGGTGTGGTGCTTTGAGTCCCTGAAGAATCGGCCTCATAAACTCAGATAAAGACTGTTTTTATCTGCAGAGCTCATCACAAACACACACCGGAGGACCGTAAAAGAGGGGACTGGAGGAGACAGACAAGGTTTAGGACGACTTTTGAGACGAGGGAACTACGAGCAAAGACAGGAAATGGAGCTGCTGAGGTCAGAGGGCGTTGCCTCTGAGAAGCAAATAAAGGAAATGCTGAAAATAAAGAAGTGTCTTAATTAACGAGCGCAAAATGTGGTCGACATCTGCAGATTTTGAGGGAGGACAGCAAATGTGAATACCTCCGGGACCATCAGGTTATCCCACCGGCCTAAACACATTCCCACAACATTGGGATATGACATGATGTTTCCTCCCTAAAAATAGCCTGATGGGGGCACGAGATTACGCAACAGGGACAGTGCTGCCGGGCGGGCTCAGCCTCTGAGGCCAGCTCCACAGAAACATTTCAGAAAAATGCGGTCGGTTATGGAACTTCCAGTCTGACTCAAAATAATTACTGTACTTAACTTAAAAAAAACAAACCAGCGGACTGAGCAAACACTGAGCTCCTGTCCGAGCAGTGATGGAGGAGAGTCTCACAGAGAGTCCGTCCCTGATCCGCTCTGTAGCGACGCCCGTGTTTTTCTCTTGATTATAATATGTGGATCTGATAAAGCTTGATTTTGTGCGCGGGCTGTTTGTTTTACCTGATAACGTGACATGAAATGAGGTGTGACAGATGGAGGAATAATCCAATCTGCTCTCTGCATCGACTCACGCTGCCCGGAACGTTGTGGAGTCAGTCCAGTGAACACAAACACACACATGTGAACGGAAAAACAGACATTCACCTCATTCCACCCCGAAACACACTCAGAGAGCTGATTCAACACTTTGTCAGAGCTCGACTGATATATTGGTCGGACGATGATATCCTGATATGAGCCTTTCGGTGCCGTGGCTGTTACGAACCTGCCTGTTGTGGGATGGGCGGTTTGTTCGGCCTGTGGTGATGCAGGTTGTAGCTTTGTTTCTAGAACTGTGTCTCAGTCTGCAGAGCCGTGATGCTGCACCACCGCTGCTGCACAAAGAGCTGTTCGTCAAAGTTTAGTGAAGCTTAAGTCCGTAACTAAACTGCAGCTTCGCTCATTACATCCATTAAATATCATGAATATTATTATTAATGAGTTTAAAGGTTGAAGAATGAAAGAATTTGACATGTTGAAGCAACAGCTCAACACTTTGCTTTCTTGTTTAATGAGGAAACTGATCTCTGCTCTCGTGACACTGAAGCTACGTTCGGGCGACAATTAACTCAGAGGAGCCGACAGGTTTTATTACCTCCGCCTTTACGACAGAGACAATATATTTTGATGTAAAGATAAATGCTAAAAACGCCTGTTGGGAGGTTTCATCATCGTCATGAATACAGCATCACATAATTAACACTACATGTTAGTTTCTTTGCTTCCGACACTAATTTTAAGTTCGTGATCCCACAATGGAAAATAAGTAATTATCTGCTGAGTTTCCAGTAACAGAGAAGCATTCTCTGTTCTTTGGATCTGGACCAGGTTCCCCCTCCGTCGCTCAGAGAAGCAGCAGTAGCCTGATTGTTTCCATCTGAAGACAGATTAACATTTCAGACGGATGAGTAGTAAAAGAGAAGGAGCGACGGGGAGGAGGAGGAGGAGGAGAGCGAAGCAGTGAGGTGTTATAATCACTGGCTGAAACTGCTTAAAGACATGCACGCAGGTCCTGAACGGTTTTTAAAGGGATCGTATGTGAGAACATTTTCCAGAAAATTCACAATGAGTGGCGTGTCATTGATGCTTCTAACACGCATCCCTGGACGAAAAATCTGAGTGGAAGAAGAAAACACGTGATTTCTGCTGAAGCTGAATTTAAACCTCGTGTTCTACCCAAACACCACCCCTCGCCTGCATGATCCAGAAATGTTCCTGTTGTTGTGAACACGTCTGACCCAGACTATCTCCTGCTCTATGGAAAAACAGAGACCGGCTGGTTTGTCCAGGCCGAAACAAATTGGTTTGCTTGTCTTGGCCTGAGGAGGAAGGTTTATCCATGAAACGGGAGAATGGAAGCAACGGCTCATCAGTCTCACAGTAAATTCACCTGACTGACACTCCAAAGACCTGGCTTTGTATTTTTATATTGGCCTCAGCCTCTGTGCGTCTCTCTGGAGAAGATTCCCTCCGTCGCCGCTCTACTCTGAGCCAGAGACAATCTTGAAAATGGATTAAGACGCAAATAAAATGGAGCCGTCCCTCTCCTCCCAGAGTGGAGTAATTCATCCGTGCTTTGAAGGTGTCCTCATGAGACGGAGGAAACCTGCCTCCTCCGCTCCATCCAGTCATTATTCATGCAGCTAATCAGTCATCGAGAAGGATAATTCAATTCCTGCAGCGAGCGAAGCAACTTGTGAGAGAAACTTTGCAGAGTGCCGTGAACTTTTGAGGCTACAAGGAAATTGGAAAAGCTTGGATGCTGCAGTGGTGACACGTTACATATAGTTCAAGGCCACAGTTACTTTTCACATGAAGAGTTTACATTCACAACTTCATGATTAGAGGTTTAACTCAAAGTGCACAGGGCCGTTAAAAGTAGCGCCACCTCAACGTATTACATTATAAAAGGGTGGTTTTTGTGTTAATCTATAATAATCAGTGGTGGAAGAAACATTAGCATCATTTACAACAATAAACTAGAAAGTACCACAATTTAAATATATAATATATACAAATACAAGTCAAAGTCCTGCATTCAAATTTGACTTGAGTCAAAGTGAAGAAGTAGAATCAGCATCAGTGTCAAGTTTCTATGGAATCACGCATTTCCATTTTTTGCTCCATTCTACCTGTATCCACTTACTACACTACATCCACTCTTATGCATAGTTGTACTCTGCATGCAGTATAATGTACATACAGTAAGTAAAACTCACAGAGTAAATCAGTTCAAACTGATTCCAGCTCAGCGTGCAGCATCAAAGTGCAAAGTATTTGTGCACCAATAATAATACTGCCCGGAGCCCGTCTGCACAGTATTTAACTTTTTAAGTACTTTATAAACATTTAGATTGATTTTGCAGTATGTGTGTACTTGTGCATAGTTTTTCATGCAGAAGTGGAATAAAGTGGATGGAGAAAAAATTTGAGTCTGCTTTGTTCTTATAGTAAATACTTATACTGAACACATAACAATATATATAGATATAGAAATAGAAATAGATATATATACTTGCATTCACGTGCTTGTCTTATTTTTTACTCTGGTGAAATTCAGCTTCCTGTTTCTTCATGTGCACAGAAAAACTCGCGTGTTCTCTTAAAAGCAGGAAATGCACAGATCACGACGGTTTGACAGAAAAATACAAAAAAAAAAACCCATCATAATAACATAATGACGTCATTCTTACCGAAGTAAACTTCCTTCTGGCAGTTCGGGCACTTTGGCATCTTGTCAGCTGCGGATCTGCAGATCAGGTGAAGAGTCTGTGGAGTGGTGAAGTGACCTGAAGTGACTCTGACGCACCAGGACGCACCAGCTCTGAGCTGCAGATGCGCTCACTCTTCTTCTTATAGCGCGAAACTGCTTCACCACAACTTTTTTTTCTACCGGAGGGGAGAGGCTTGTGTGTGTGTGTGTGTGTGTGTGTGTGTGTGTGTGTGTGCACAAAACACCACATGCACCACTAAAACTAAAGAATGGGACCACCACACTTTATAGACTTTCCTTTCTGTGGCATTTATACGACTACAAATGGATAAAAACGTTTTTAATTCACCTTAAAACTGTGTGCATCTGTATTTTAATGATAGAAGTGTGAGGTCAAGAGAGGAGAGGAACATTTCAGAAAAACAAATCACACAACATATAAGATATCATTTGTTGTGAGTTGCTTTTACAGTCATTTATATTCTTCTTATTCTAAGGTACTGGATGGGTTAAATGCGGAGAACAATTTCGTGTATGCATGTAAAAAGTGTAAAAACATGAGAATAAAAGTAAATCTTCTTCTTCTTCTTCTTCTAAGGAGCCGCTGAGATATGAAAGACATTTAAGTTAGAGATATGAGATATGAAAAGATGATCATGGTATGAGATGATGTGAACACTTAAACCTTACTGAATATTACGTTACATTATAAAAAATATATAACTACCGTTCAAAAAAATTATCTTCTCAATCGTGTTTCATCGCTGTGACTAAAGTGCAGAGTCTTCACGCCACCGCCCAGAACTGATAAGTATCTTTTAATCACCGGGGTATATTTCATATGAAATGACTTATCGTGCATCAATTATTGATAAACCAAACCAAAGTCTTTTTATTTTTCGTGCCAGATGCAGTTTCCTCTCACACCTTCATGAGACAGAGCTGCTGCAGAGCTGTGTGACGCTCTGATCTCAGGTCAGAGCATGACTTCATGTGGTGGAGAAGATACAGAGATGTTTGTTTCCGGTCACACTGTTCAACTTTGTAGTAAAACAAAGTCAGAGATTAAAGAAACTTAGACCTTCTCTGTATTCCCTAATAAAACAGTTCACATTCACCAGAGTCCAGTTGGAGAAACATCAAACTCTGATCCATCATTATTTGCTCTCTGCTGTGACGACAGTGAAGGAACCTCCCTGCTGCTCCCTCAGAATCCACTTGATATGTGACTCCACCGCTATTAGCTGCTGAACAAGAAGATAACTGATGAATAATACAAGTCAAAGTTCCTTTGCACACACACACACACACACACACACCTTTGTTTTGCTCCGTAGTCAGAGAGACACACCATCTTAAATGTAGTTGTTTATTATAAACTATGTGTATATTGATGGTACTTTGTATGTGAAGTACGATTGTGAAGCTGGACTGATGAATCTGACCCATGAATCAGCAGTTTATTAAACAGTAAAGGATGATTGAGACTGATGAAAGTTATTGGTATCTGAAATGAATATCTTAGGTCATCGCTAAATTCAATAAACAGTTGAAATAGTCCAAATAATGTTCTTAATATTTAGATTTGTTCTTCTTTTCTTCATCCTTCCACCAAGTTTCAATAAAACAGTTTGAGTGGTTTTTGCACAATCGTGGTGAGAGTCAGAGGAACAGTGATGAAAACAAAACATCACCGACGGAACCAACAAACCAGAAATAGAGAAGTTGAAATGAATAAAAACGTTGAAACTTTATCTGCTTTTTAAATGTGAATAATCTGAATGAACGCTGCAGGTTGTGTTGAACAGACCAGAAGCTGCACAGCTGAGGAAACAGTTTCATGTGATTACACCATGTCTCTGTGATGACTTTGTCCTGAGTGTACATACGATCTATGGTGTAATCATTACAGAGCGATCACACCCAGCTGCAGAGCGACTTTTGATCCCATCTGAAGGCTTCAAGGTGTGTGTGTGTGTGTGTGTGTGTGTGTGGTGTGTGTGTGTGTGTGTGTGTGTGTATGAGGGTGTTTGTTGTTGTGTTGTTGATCTTACATTTATGTTGTGTCTTTACGTTCTGCACCGACAGACACAAACTTCAAAGTAATGTCTGAATTCCGGTTGTGAAAGATATCAAACCCTCAGAGGATCCTTTTCATGAGCTGCCATGGCAACCAAACACAGAAACACTGATGTTGTCAGGGTGACGACATCACTGACCTTTATTTATTGTTGTTGCCAGGTTTGGACGTTTGCAGGGCGTTTTTAAAAATAAATAAAAATCTCCCCCTTTTTTTCGTCTTTACTCTATTAACTGATCTTTGACGGAAGTTAAGTGAAGATAAACACACAATTTAACCCACATCCGTGACACACCTGCTGAGTGGAGGCACAGAATGACATCAGACCTGAGTTGATAGAGAGTTCCAGTCGAACAAGTTTATGTTAGCCAGTCAGCCACTGTTAACAAAACCAGTTCTCGATCCAGTTGCAACTTCCGACTCGAGGGTCAGAGATTCTGCAGAGACAGATTCACCTGCAGGGTTTGGTGAATGTGAGCGACTCCCTGAAGTCTTGACAGGTTTGCCTGGTTTCCATTAAATCAGGCCGAAGCTCTGCTGCTCTGCGGATGAAGCAGCGAGCTCGTCTCCCAGGTTGCCGGTGGTCACGCTTCAGCGGTCTTCACTCTGCCCCGGGGTCGACTGGGCTCTGGTCCAGCGTCTGAGGTTGACGTGCCACCGACTCGTCTCTGTTAGTGCCTGGTAATTACAGATGCTCGGTGATCGGACCTCCTCCCGTGAATTAGACAAGACTAACGTGGAGCTTTCATGGTCTGCACCGCTAATCAAGGAGAGTGGATACACACAGACCGCTGCCACATCAAGACGTTATGCACACAGTGTTGCACAGCGTCTGCACAAACACGTGTTGAGAAGAAGCTTCGGTTTACCGTTCTGTGCAGGTCGGCCTCGTCATCATGTTCTTATTGTTATTCTGCAAATTAAATGGAGGTAAACATTGATTTCAGTCTCATTATATTTAAATTTCAGGACAATAAACAAATAAATGTCAAAGATTCAGTCTATTTTCCAACAGAATGTATTCCCGATGGTGTGGACAGCATTTGAATTAGGCAGTTATGTGAATCGATCTACAATCTGTACTTCTACATCCACAATGGACAAAGATGGACGACGCATCTCCGCCTCCTCCTTTTCAGTAATGAAGACAAAATATTCCAGAATAGATGTTACAACAGAAAATGTGGGTTGGACTTTGCGTCCAGTATCCCAACTGAAAAACGGTGTCGTCTTTTTCCTCTGAGAACAGTCCCACCGCTATTTTACATTCCGTTCACATCATTCAACCACATGGAGGCTGTGCTGTGACCTTTGACCTGTGAATTCATATGATCCAAACAGGCCTGACCACGGGCGGCGCTCAGCGTGACCCCTGGCTCAGATCCACCAAACGCAGAGGAGCTACTGTACGAGCGGCTTCGCAAAGTAAAGACTCACTCACTCAGGAGATCGAACATTTCGAAGCATGAAATCACAGCAGGAAAAATCTTTTCTCTGTAACAGTGGCTCATCGTCCAAGAATCAAAAAAGAACGTAATTTGATGTTTAAATTCCATGTGCATCAGATTATGAGGAGGATTAGTCAGGCTTCTCGGTTTGCTCGAAGAGTAATGGAAGAAAGTCTTGAAAATTACTCGCAGAGCAACAAATTGAAACCAAATTTCCTGTCGTTAATCTGAAAATAACCCCTCGCTCTGCTTTTTTTAACTGTACAGATATTTTCTGGGTTTTGTTCAATTTATAGCAGCAGCACTGCAATTACAGACGATGACGGATCACGCAGAGCAAACACGATCTGTCTGTAGGGAAGTCAGGAAGTAAAACAAGTCGCGTATCAGCCGTCCCTCCGTCAAATCAGAGGGATGGAGAGACCCAGAGGAGGCTGTGAAGAACATGGAGCCAGGAAGCCGCTCAACCTGATGGAGGAGGACGTGTATTCTTCAGAGGCTGCATTTGAAGGTTGCATCACAGCAGCGTTGTCCCATTTCCAATACTTCCTTCCATTCTTGAGCAACCAAGGCTCCAAAGGGTTCATTTATTGCGCTCCAGTGCAACTGTTTTGCCAATAAGTTCTCTTCTCTGTTTGGCTGCTGTCCACGCGGGCCGTGCCCATCGCGTCCTCCGAAGGATGCAGCCCCTGTATTGGGACACAGCTCATGACTAAAGTACAGACCAGTGGAGTCAGAGGGACGCGCTTCAGTTTCACACATTTAGAAACACAGACAAGTTTCGTGCTCAATACACAGTCAATAAACTTTGTTAAGTTTAATTTGTAAAGTTTCCCCTCGATGCTTTAAATTCATCTTTTTAATTTAAGGTTGCAATTTACAGTTGTTTTCCTCCAAATGAAAACGGTCTGTGATTATTTAACACTTTTCTAGTTGACTGGATCAAAACGTCGACCTTTCGGTCAGCGGACGACCCGCGTGACCTCCTGCAGGAACTTTAAACAGCTCTGATCCAGAGTAAAGAGAGCGAACAGTGAATCTGTTATCAGTGAGATAGAATGACACTGGATTACATGCTGTTTTATAACGTGTGAATCCCTCGTGCATGTGAAGGCATGTGACAGTGACAGGTTCAGCCACTGAACGTGTAAAGTACTAAAGTACAGAGTGTGAAAATACAGAGCTTAGGTATTCTCAAAATAATACGCATCTTAAAGACTTACAACCTCGATGCTCTGTTCGTGTCTTATGTGAAAAATGTGAATTGCTTTGTTGTTGAACGGAGCAGGAGAACTGAACCTGCCCTGACAAGCCTTTTCCTGAACATACGTGTAAAGAGAGGAGCGAGCGAGTCCCGTGTCTGAACCAACAAACCTTCAGTCACGATCCTGGTTCCAGGCTTTGTCTCCTTTTATTTCCCTGGTTTCAAACATGTCACTTCATTATTCCAGCTCCTCTCTGCAGGACAGGTTCAAGCCATGTTTGAGCTCGATGTCTTTCAGCTGTGGCCCTTCAATCAAAACAAACATGCACATGCACACACTTACAACAATGCATGTGCAAACACTGTGAGCCGGGGTAAGTGCAGGTCAAGCATGTGGAGCTACATGGGAAATGTCAGGGCAGGAACGTTCAAA